GGGGGGGGGGGGGTTTGTTTACTAATTACTTGCATATTAACACGTATTGGTGCTGCAAGTGTTTGTTTATGTGTGTGGGTGTGGGTGTTTATTTTGCCCTCGCGTGAGAAATTGGTGGTTTGGGTGAGGGGTTTGCAGGCACGAGGGTGTGGTGGGATACATGGGGATGAATATTGATTGATATCAATGGATAGTCCGGTGGCGAAGATATGATCATGTATGAACTCCGTACGCGACAGGACTCTATCGAGGATCTAAGTTTCAGGATCTCTTCCACTATCACGGGTAAAAAAGTATATCGGGCAGGACCAGGACAACTCAATCAATGTGCACGGTCGTCGATATACGAGCGGAGAAAGTCAGACAGACCAAACAATATGCATGGATCGGATCTCATACCGAGTCCTAATCAATGATAATCGACCACATCAGTCGCCATCTGCAAGTTTTTAGATTTCCATTGATCGAGGGATGGACGTGGGGTTGCATCGCATCCAGATCCGTGGCAGATAGGAGTTTATAAATAATAAGCTTTGAGCTACTTAACTTTCGGTGCCTACGTTATGTATGGGGGAGGATATTGATTCAGGGTGTCTAATAAAAAAAAAAAAAAAAAAAACTCCTAGATTGAGGCCATTTGAGTCTGAGGGAAAGATGTCGATTGTTTGAAAGAGTAGTACAGAACTATACTAGTGGATAATTATTTTATGACTTGAATAAATAAGAGAGTTAATGGGGTGCCAGTAAATGTCAGACTTTGGAACCACGCACATGGAGCGCGGGCGGCAAACGCCAAGAATGCGGTGGATGGACGAATAGAAAGGCGAGGTTAGTCCGGACTGGGTTTAGTCAGTGAGCAGCCATGCGAGAGTAAGGCTGTTAGTGTCAAGTGAGTTCTGTTAGTCGTCGAGCTACAGGTGCTTTGGTCATTAGCACGACTAATAGCTCTGCCGATCGCTCCCAGGTCGAGATAATCAGTAGACTACCCTCAAAAAGGGAAGGGGAGGGTTTTGATAAGGGCTGTGTATGTACTGTAGCTCGAAAATAGATTATCTCTGGAGATAGGGACCCAAGCGCAGGGTGGAATAATTGGTGAAATCTCACACGTGTAGTTTGGGAAATGTGGGAATCAACCTTGCAAGCAAAAAGCAAGGTGAATGAGGAGGATCGGCAGCAGGGTGATATCATTGAAGTCAACCCAGCGGCCAAGTCACGGGACTGCGCATAATGGTCGCGTCTCTGGGTCTCGGTTCCAAGGTTCAGTTTGTTTACTAGTTCACGACCCATGGACAACCATGGACAACATACTACCTTATCTGTAGATTTGTATATGCAAGCAGTAGTGCTGACGTCTAGACACGGCATAGAGTTTTTGAAACAAGAGTCATGACATCGGACGCGGGGTCAAGGAAGAACAAAGCTGGGAGATGCAAGAAATCCTTTCTTTTTCTCTTTCCCCCACCTCATGTGACATCACCATTCTACCCACTTTTTTTTTTTTTGTTTTTCGAGGTTGAGCAATATTTAGTAACAAGTTTCAAGTACGTATTCCGTGCACAATGGATAAAGACCGAGTAAAGTTGCAGAGAGACAAAGTAGCACGAGCGCTAAAAGAGCCCCGACGGGCCAATGAAATAGCTAAGGCAGGGCAAACCCCGCAGGGGAGACTCGGGCCAAGGCTCCAAGGCTCTGATGTGCGACGGCCAGACCGAAACAACTGGTGAGGTGACGATGATGCCCTAGCCCGGACCTCGGAGTTGTCTGGATTGGTCGTCAGGTTGAATTCAATGCAATGCGCAGCACATGGTCTTGTCACGGCGGCTACGATGGATGATGGATCGCAATCCTAGTCGTCTCACTCGTTACTAACCTCCCACCCTAGAGATCGGAGGGCCCGAGATACGATGATAGTCACCACTAGTCCCTCCGTTCTTGCCGACCGCGACAGCTCAGCTGAATGTCAAGCGACGCCCAAAAGCTTACAAATGTTGCGATCGGGCCAATGCGCAAAAGCAATCGCACAAACTAAAAAATTTAGACCGAATCTGTCGCAAAATGAATATTATTGCCATTGGGCCCTTCGCGATCCGGCCGTCTCAAGCGACCCTATGAGCCTCAAGATAACGATTTCCGATCCATGGCGTAATATTCGCTCAAATTGGATCTTCTCTGCTCCGCGACGGCTCCGACATGGACCGGGATAAACATTGGCGCCAACCGGTGTCTCAAGAGGTGAGGGGCTGCGGCGTAATGGGGTAGCAGTCTCTTGCAAGGCTCAACGAAGGCAAGACGACATTCGTTTGTTTGACGTTCCCCATTTGTGGCGGTGTAGGAGCTAGGAGTTAGTTAGATTATTAGATAGTAAGTCCAACTTCCATACATAGTTGGTCGTTGCAGCGTCTCCAACTGGCCGATAGGATCATTCCGTGCGCAGTGGCGGATTGCTCAGCACGTGTGGGCTCTAGACCGATAATGCACGATCGAAGAAAGCCGATCCATCAGGGCGGAGACCTCAAGAAACCTAGAGCATAGCCCATAATAAATTAAAGGATTTGATTAGCTAGTACCATTGGTGACGTCGTCAACTGGGGGGGACTAGTTGCGATATGTTCCCCACATACGCCGCTGGGAAGGTGAGCAAAGGAAAATGAAAGTCAAAACGGCCCAGGGAAAAGGCAATTATTCCCTTGACAAATCGCGTCAACTGACAATTAGGAATCGATAGCAACATTTGTAAGGTTACTTGCGGTATGAGGGGAAAGACAAGAATAGGAACAGTACAAGGAAGGCTCTAGTAGGAAGGGATGAAGATATCCCTTGGCAAGACTAGCAAGAATGCTGAAGCGCGTCCGAATCGGAACCATAGTGATCCTGAGTACAGTTACTCCGCAAGTAAGGACACACTATGTCTTCCAATGTATGACGAACACCACTGCAGGGAGGACTGTGCACCTGGAGATCGATTGATATGCCTCGTGTTAAGATATCAATTTCCTGAGAGCTACAATTTACCTCCCTCCTCATCGGGTAAGTGTATTATTCGAACCGAACGGTCCGTTACCATGCCCGAGGCTCAAATAGTTCTGCACGATTGGCATGTAGATCGTAAGATATCCCAAAAGTCATCTGAAAGTCAAGATATCTTCAATGGATATCACTGCCGCATGTGGTGAGTTCCTTGGCATGCTGGACGTGAGAAGGTTCGTAAAGGCATTCCCTCATTGGGCTCATCCGACCATCTCACCGCATTTCGGTTATGCTCTAGAAATAATTGAGATGTTGCAGTGTCTTCTGTACCCTCTTCGCCCCCCACAGGTCCTATAGCTAGAAGTTGATGTAGGTTATATGGATATAGGGTTTGATGGGGAACTAGTTAACTCGGAGATTTACGTCTCTTCTGGAGTTGTGCAGGATTAACCCTACTATTGGATTGACTACTGAGAGGTGTACCGCACTACAGGAACTTCACAACTGACAGCTTACCGGTTTGGGGAAATTCAATCTGACCTGGAATTTCCGTTCCTGAGACTCAGACTCCGGACAAGCTCTTTTTTCCGACTGAGTGGAGCGAGTGGAGATGTTATTAGATTCGATCTGTCTTTTTTGGTATTCTTTGGGAACTGAAATTAATGGGACCCTAAAAAAAAAAAGAAGATAAATGGACCGGCACAAACGGATAGACTAAGATGAATTTTACTCTGAGCCTATTAACTTTTTTTTCTTTTTCATTTTTCCTTTTTTTTCGCTCTCAATTTTTCTTAATATCGAACCGTTCATGACCCTTTTTTCCGACTAAGACGGAAACTTAATGGTGAAACTGCATGGGATTGCCTAGCGTATGTTAGGAGTTTAAGAAAGACAAGAAGGAATAGGAGCCTCCTCTTGGAGGACTTTCAACAGTAAATAATACAATGAACAGTTTGAGTAATATCGTTCTTGCTCCTCTGACCGATAAAAATATAAAAAAAAACCGTTACGACAGCAAACGGTGGTTGTCCCACTCATAGTACATGAAACCTGTCAAAAGGAGGACCCAATATTTAGTAAAAGAAAAGGAAAAGAAGAAAGAAAATCCTTCGGTAGCCCGTGAGACAGGCACGATCATGCCTCAGCCAGCCAGGGAAGATTTGGTACAGCAGCAGCGGGTAAAGCAGTAAGGACGCTGATAGGCGAAGGGTTGCTGAGCAGCCGCTAGCGTTACTGATGGCGGCAAGGGAGTCCCGGCAACGAGGGGGGCCCAGAGCCCTAGACGCTGGCTAGTCCTCGCCGTACGGGTACCTACCTCTCTGACTTACATACTGTACGTATAGTATGTATGATACCCGTACCAGACCTATGATGTATGTACCCTGTAGGTACTTCGGAGCGCCAAAACCCACCGGGGCACTACCTGTGAGGTACATACGTCGCTATGCTGTCAGAGTTGGAACTTTTTGCTCAATTCTGGAATTACTGTTTCAAGCAAACGGTTGGAAATAACTTAATCCCCTTGAAGAAAAGAAAGAAAGAAAGGGTTTTTCAATAGATCTTCTAAATTTACTAAGGATAGTAAGGGCTTGCAATGCGATATCCCTTTGATAGTGATTTTTAATTTTTAATTTTTGGAGCCCATTCTTTCGCCCGTCCGCAGGGCTATAGAGGAAGGGCGAGAGAGCGCCGGGGTGAAGATTCCAAACCGGTTCGACACAGGTTTCTGACGCAGATGAACCAAACCAGCCTAGTCCCGTCTTGTACCAGAAGCTAACTTGTCGTCGCTTAAGCTCTTTCTGAGCATCTGGAGATCCATCCCCACTTTTGCGTTGCCATTGCAACAAGATCATCCCTTCAGCTTCACTTTCTCCTCTTTTTTTCACTTCTTCTCTTTCTTTTCTCTGGGTCTTCTAAGTATCTGTCCATTCTTCTTTTAAGTCTAGGACTGTTCCTCATTTCCCATGCTTCATTTCTCGAGCTATCCTCAGGCCCAGTCCCGTGTCCCAGTCTCCGACAAACCCTCTGCTTCGGTAAGTTTCCTCCAATGCATTAGCGTACCAACTCTCCTCCCCTAAGATTGTCAGCCTGATGCTGATGTCAGTACTTAGAATGCTAACCTAGTCTCCGTTGCTCATTAGCCCCTCGCCTGTCTCTCCCCATCTTCAAATCTTGCTCCAACGTTGACGCCCCGGGTTACCTTTGTTCGAATTTTCGGCCAGCCATGTCGCTCTAGACGCACGGCTTCGTCACGAGGAAGTACCGGTACATGCTGGTTAGCTGAGGGATTCTGAAGCCGCTCTTCAACCATCCGATTAGTGAAGTCTGGGTTCAACACTCCGCAATTGGGCAACAGGAACATACGAGAGTTGGGTGGTTACCGTTCCGACAGAGACGCCTCCACCTACCGTGTAGTATATGCCGGGTAGATAGTGTACGGCATAACTGTCTTCTTCTACTTCTCTGTTCTTTTCTGGTTCTGGTTCTTTTTACTTTTCTTACTTTTCTTTCAACTCCACCATTCGACTGCGGCGTTCTTGCGAGTTTGAGGCATTAGGGAAGAAACAAGCATTCTGCAACAATGGAACACTCATCCCCGTTGGCTGCTATGCAGCCCCCATCTGTGCTCTTCGGACACTGTTTTCGTTCGGATGCAAGGACATCCTACCCTACGTTTGGTCTCAATTCAAACAGTTTCAACTTCAAAGATTTATCTATGAAAAAAGCCCATGGTGCCGATTACTTCAATGTAAAAGGTACATCTCCTACCGCGAGTCTCGCGGCTGATCTATCTCAAAATTTCCATATTGATCAGAGGTTTGTCCACTTCTTTGTGCCCCTTGTCTTTGTGTTATTGCGTGTTCAAAGAAGCACACTGACCAAATATAGTCCCCAAGTGGCTACTCCACGGCGATCTTTGTTCTCCTCCAACCTTTTTGGGAACGGTAACAGGCGTGGTAAGAGTTGATGTGTTATAGTGCATGAAGGACTGGGATTGCTCATCAAGTTTATAGAGGAAGCGATGACAACACCTCCACTGACTTCCTCACCTGCAATGGATATCATGGAAATGTCGCCGTTACCGCACAAACCTCCGTTCAACGTTTTGGAAGCTGAACTCCGCACTCCTACAATCGAGATAACGTCCATGGACACGCCCATGAGATCTAATGCTGCAAGCCCGCTACAGGACTCGCCTTTGGTTGCACAAAAGGAAGGCCAGCATGAGTAAGAACCACAGCGTCAATAGATGAAGTGTATATCGGTCTGACAATATTTTCTCTCTATAGGAGGAGACGTCCAACCTTCCTTCGGCCCAGCCTAGCCAGGAGCAAAGCGCAATCCTTTCAGTTGGGCATGGTTAAGCCCGCACCGGAAAGCCAAGCACCACCGTTTAAATTCCAGAGCAAGGGAGCCAAGACCTCGTTAAGCACATCGGCTTCGTTGGAGGATATGTTTAATGAATCGCCACCACGCGAACGGTCGTCGCTGAGGAATCATTCATCCCACGGCTTGGTGAATCCGCGACTGAGACCCCCATTTAGCCGAGAGACGAGCCATGTTCGTGGAAATGGATCGCCGTCGGCGGCATCCATTCGCAAAAACTCGCACCCCATGATGCGCCCTCGTAAACAGTGCCGACGTTCGTTGAGCATGTTTGAGAACCCCGAGGATGTAATGGTCGAAAAAGAGGCTTCTTTTACATCAAATGCACCACTTCAGTCCATCTGCGACATCGAAGGAACCCCCAGCCTACAATTGCCTCACTTTTTACCTGAGGACCAGGCTGATACATTGCCTCGCATCGACAAGAGCATTCTCGTGGAACTCATGGATGGAAAATACAACGACCGTTTCGACAATATCATGATTATTGACTGTCGATTCGAGTACGAATATGAAGGTGGCCACATCAACGGGGCTGTGAACTACAACGACAAGGATAATCTTGCTGCGGAGCTGTTCGCCAGCCCTAAACCGAGGACGGCATTGGTTTTACACTGCGAGTATTCCGCACACCGGGCTCCCATTATGGCCAAATACATTCGCCATCAGGATCGTGCTTTTAACGTGGACCATTATCCCCATCTTACCTACCCGGATATGTACATTCTGGACGGGGGCTATAGCAGCTTCTTTTCTGACCATCGGACACTGTGCTTTCCCCAGAACTACGTCGAAATGTCTGCCAAGGAGCACGAGTTTGCCTGCGAGCGTGGCCTCGGGAAGGTCAAGCAGAGGTCTAAGTTGAGCCGCGCTCAAACTTTTGCTTTCGGTCAATCTCCCCATATGGAAGACAGCCCTACTGGGAGGTGTCGCAATGGCCTTGGAGACCGTAACCGATTATTAGGGTCTCCATTTGCTGCAAGCCCTGTCTCCGGACGCCTCTCCGGCCGACGCATGCTTTCCTACTGATGGACCCCTCGAATCGTCAGATTCCACTTCAACAGCCAGCCCTCGATATAATGATGCTATCCGGTGCTGTGCTAAGGTTTTGCCGCATTTCGTTGCACTGCAATATTTCGCATATATCCAGAGACCCTGGTTTTGGTTCGCTGTCTTACCCACTCGCTGGTCTTTCGAGAATATTGAGTTGCACCATGGGACTTGGAGGGTTTGGTCGCTGTCGAGCTAGCGCCTTACCACTCAAGTTCCTTTCCGTTCGTTTTGAATACTTTTCGCTTTCCTTCTCTTGGCCCGGTTAATAGAGCTTCAGCATTTTGCATTGATGACACGGCACCTTTTGACTCTACCATTTTATTGATTCGTCGTGCGCCTCTCGCCAGCCCGGCACTTTGATTACGTTTAGCGGATCCGATTCTTTCCTTCATCTCCGACCACTGGCCCTACACTTATTTCCTATGTCTTGAACGATTTTCCTACGTTATTCGCCCTTGCACTTTGCATTGGACCTGATCGCTATGATACCACGTCACCACTTGGCAGTTCCCCTTCTTGGATCTTTCCTTATTTTTCTCCTTATTGTCTTTTAATCCTCCCTCCCTATTTCTTGTATAACAAGCGAGGGAGCGACCCACTCCTCGCCGTACAATGTACATATTGATGTACGGCTCGTCAGAAGGGCGATAATGCACCCTGCACGACAGCGACGCCGAAAGCGATCACCCTGAGAGGGCAGATCTAATAGCTTCGGGAGCGTCGATGCACCTGTACATATACAAAACTCCCGCGTCGGTGAACTGACATCTAATGGGAAGGCCGGGGGATTAAGAACTAAAAGATAATTTCCTTTGTTGGAATGAAATGAAATAACTTGAAGAATTCATCCGCGTGCTCGAGCAATTTGATGAAAATCATGTAGATGTGTAGTCAGGATAACCAACCCACTATATAGAGCTGCGCGGAGTAGCCTGAGGCAACTTTAATTTTAGTCTCCGCCGCCGCCTTCGATTCCGCTCCGCTTCCCACAATTTATCCCACTCCATCGAGCTTCTTCCGCCCCAATGCTACGCGGCGCTTGATGAATTACACCCCCCGCCATGGATATCGATGACATCCTTGCCTCCGTTGATCGTAACGATGTCTCTACCCCCGAGTCCGCCGCACTGGACCACCAGTTGCTCACACGCTTCTGGGTCGCCGAGCGCGGCGTGTCGGAGCTCCTCCCATGGCCGGAAGCCCTGATGAATCGAATGATGGAGCGAGTCCGCAAGCAGGTAAATAAACCACCAAACCCCCAGCACCCCAAAATCTCCATAAAATCAGTCCACAGCTAACCCTATCCCCGTCGGGGAAAACCTATATAGATCGAAACAATCGAGGACCTAGCCGCCTCCTCCTCAGACCCCACCACTACCAATAACAGCAACAACAACCCAACCCTAAATCTCAAACTCTCAATCCTCCAAACCGACCTCTCTAGAACCCAATACCTCCTCCGCTCCATCCTCCGCCAACGCATCTCGAAACTCACAAAAAACAGCATGCACTACCTCCTCCGCGTCAGCTCTGCTGCCTCTTCCCAACCCTCCCAACAACACCCAGACTCCCAAAACAACTCCGACCAACAGCCCGAAGACTCCATCCCCGATCTAACCGCCGTGACTGACCCCTCGCCGCTATCATCACAGGAACTGGACTTCTTGCGCGCGCATCAGACGCTGCTGGCGGGGCATTTCGGGGCGTCATTTTTAGGCTCGTTTCCGGCGCAATTGAGACGCTTGGATGATAATGCGGGTGGGGTTAGTATGGTTCAGGGCCCGGATCCGAGAGAGGTGGTTTTTGTGAGGTGTCTTGTTGAAAGTGTGGGCGTTGTTGTGCCGCCTGGGGATGGGGTGGAGGTTGAGACGGTGGGTACGGAGATGCGGATGGGGGATGTTTGGGTTGTTCGGTGGGAGGGAGTTAGGGGGGCTTGGGAACGGGGGGAGGTGGAGGTTCTTTGATCTTTTTAAATTTTTTTTTTTTTACCCCTTATCTTTGTGATTGTCTTGGTTGTGAGATGGGTGGGTTTTGTTGAACCTGTGTTGTGGTGGTTTGTGTGCAATGCATGTATATATGTTGCTGATGCATCGTGGCGTTTAGGGTTGATGACTTGTGATACCTGATCTTTTCACTGCATTTCGGATATAGAATGTATGTGGTGCTTGTTATGCCAATGGGGTATGGTTATGTTGGATTTGGGTTTGAATGAACCCTTGTTGCGTTTTGTAATTGAAATTGTTGCGATCAATCACTCTATACATCGCTCGGCTCAACCTGGAGCGTCATCCTTCATAACCCTAATCTAGTAATTCAATATTCTCCAAGGATGCAGTAGAAGACAGAAGAAGTAAAAACGCCACACGATCTATAGCATGAACAATATCCGCCGTTGCGCCTGACCGCTAAGCCCAAATCACTGTCCATGCACACGAATAACAACGCCCAAAAAAGGAATAAAGGAATGGCACGCAATTGACCAGAAGGAGTCATTCTCTGTAGTAAGCGATGTGGTTAAAGAATGCTTAAGCGACGTATCCATATGTTGGCGGGTCTTCACCGACTCGTTCGAGATACTCGCGGTCGATCAAGCTCTCGATACGTCGCTTGATCATGTTCACGTCGGGAACGAAGCGGGCAGACAATTGGCTTAGAACCTCGCTCATGAGCTTGGAATGGACCAGCGTCTTTCGTTGTCTAGATGGTTGAAGCGTGGTTAGCTTCTGTCACGCCCAGATATATAGACCGGATTCACTTACTTCATGATTCGCACGACTGCAGCTTCGATGCTGGCACCACGCTCATCGTTCATTCGCTTTTCAGTTTCCTTTCTCTGGTCTTGGTTCTCCACCTTGTTGGCGCTGCCGCTCACAACACCAATGCGGACTTTCATGAACGGGCTCTGGAAGTCGTTGTTGAAGACGAATCTGTCGGTAGGTTTGACGTCCTTGCTCATGGGATCCTTCTTCAGGACCCGTGTCTTTGGCGCAACTGCAAGCGACTGCAGGTTGCGAATTAGGTCGTGGTCTGGAATCCTTGTCCGGGCCTGAATCTCTTCATACGTGAGAGACTCGCCCTGCGGGACGTCATTAAAAAGCAGCAGGATAACCATGGCATAAGTGGAGACATTAAGCTCATGCCGCTGGACCTTGCCGTTAGATCTGTGGAACGTAGCCCGGATATCTGCGGTGCCCATACTGGCCTGCCATGACAGTTTCCGGCCATTATGCTTGCTCAAATAGAACTGTTCGAAGCTTTGTCTCAGGTTGTCAATTTCCTTGGGGAAGATGCAAGAAAGCTGAACGTCATCGCCTTTAATACTAGACATGGCCTCCATAGGCCACATAGTACTCGTAAGGACGTTGATCTCTAAATCAACGGGCTTCTGGTCGGGATCTCCTGCCCGCCGAATATGTTCCTTGTAGCTAGCAGTTAAGTCCTCGGAAACCGTCATATCCTTGAACATGGATTCTAAGCGTTGCGTGAACTGGTTTCCGACCTCCATCTTCATCTTGGATATCATCTGCCGCTCCGCATCCATGCTAACTGAGCGCTTCATCAGAAGACGCCGGGATAGGTGTTTCTTGTAGTACGCCTCAAAGAGATCCTTATCCTTCACATAGCGTAGAAGGGTAATGCCGTTGTCCAAAAGAGCATCCACTTCAGTCTCTGTTTTGCCTTTAATTCCCTTTTTCAAATTCTCATCAAAAAAGAGAGACAGATACTCTGAGCTGCGCGTGTTTGAGTTGATGAACTCTGAGAAACTCGTCGTGATGGCGCTTTGCATCGTCGGATCGGACCGGAATGATTCCTCCCAGATCTTGTCGAACTTGATCTTCAACCCTAAGACATCGTCGACCCATTTAATAGCGGACACTGTCTGCTGGTTCACAGGCTTCTCAGCAGGTTTCTTTCCGCCCTCGGCGGTCTTTTCTGCCGATTTTGTGGGTTGAGCTTGTGCTGCTGCAACTGCAGACTTATTGATCTCGTCTCCCATCTCCACTATGCGCTTCTGAACGGCAGCAGTTAAAGGTGTCTTTTTACTGTCTACCCTTGCGCTCAGTACATAGACATTTCGTAGAACATCCATGCGATCATTGTCGAGCATATTCTTGACACCGGTGCCTTCTAGGTTGATAACTTCCGCAATGTTTGAGCCGATCAGCTCCTTATCTAGTACGTCTTTAATCTTCGGCTCCGACAATGGTGACAGCGTTGAGAGACAGCGTGCCCCTTCTTCCGCTATGCGGTCGGAGGCAGCTTTACAGAATGTAGCAGCGTCTCCCGTCTCTAGCAGCCGCCGTCCTTCTGCCCTGTAGAAGACTTTACTCGTCTCAATAAATGCCGGCTCGAACATAGTTAGGTAAAGCTTTGATGATTCCTCTTCAGTTATCGTTTCATAGAGACCCTCCAGCATATAAATGCAATGCCGAATTAGCAGTCGGTTTATCATTTGCCCTGATCGTTCCAGCTGGATCATGAAGAGAACAGTAGATTTGAGCACATCGGCAACCGTCGACTCTGTATCGGCACGAACTGCAGATCGTAGCACAAAGTCACGAAACAAAGCCATGGATGCGACGTATATCGAAGGTTTCTTATGGTCTGCCGAAACGACTCGATCCTAGAATAACCCGGTCAACTTTGGTCAATCAAACACATCAGCACAAGGCCATACCATGTACATGAGAACGTCCGTAATCATTCCCATGGAAATCTGGTGATCCTCCCAGGCCTCCCTTAACACATTTAGAAACTTTTCTCCGGTATCCCTCCGCTCATTTTCTTGATCTTGAATTTCGGTATGGTCCTTCGCCTGGAGTAGAATAGACGAGATTGCTGCAGTCACCCGCTTCTGTACTTCGGTATCAAGCCATTCTTGCTCAAGTTTCTTGACCCGTTCATATAGCTCGTCACCGCGCATCATCAGCACGATGTTGTAGGCATTCCGGTATAACTGTTCGAAAGAGAGATTGGATGCATCTTTCGTATGGATCTTCTTCAAGGACGTTGACAAACCTTCCCAGTTTGTTTCAAAGTCATCGGTTTTGTTGGTGTTGAGACCCTAATACAGCCTGGGTTAGTTGAGCCATTTTTATACAGTGCCACTCGATGACTTTCATAGTCCGAAGTCCGAAGTACACCCGACGGCGGCGTAGGATTTAATCCTTCACCTGTTAAAGGGTCGGGATAATTATAACGGATCGGGAATAATAGCTTACCCTCCGTGGAGCACGGATCTTCTGCCTTGCCCTCATAGCCATCTTCCGCTATATTGGCACTTTGCCATCCACTTCCTCAGTGTTGGTCTTGCGCGCGGGGCAGTCAAAGGAGCAGTTGGACTTTGGCGAACACAGATTGAGTGGAGATTTAGACCTAATGGGGGCTTTGTAAGCCTCAAATGAAGAAGATACCGTCCAAGATGAACTCCTTCCAGCAATTTCAGCACCGCTTCAAAACAAGTGTGGAGTAGATGTACTGCAGATTGATGCCGCGGAGGGCAGAGAGGGTGGAAAAACAGAAAGTCCGGCGCAAGTTGAACACTTTCTCCGTCATTGCCCTCCGCCATTCTCACGACCATTCCTTCAACTTTCGGGTTTATACCAGGCTCCGTGGGCAAGCTATACCAGAGTCGAACATTTCAAATCGGTGGCTTCCCTACTATTCTTTAAACTCACCTTCCCGGCCTCGCCATGCGCTCATTCACATCTTTTCCTCGAGGCCTCCGTGCCATCCAAAGCTCTCTTCCCCGAACAGTCATCTCGCGCCCTACATCCAGACCTTTCTCGCAACTGATCAACCGCCCCACCCGATCATCTCCCGCACTTTCCTGGGCTTCGGCCAGAATCACCGTACCGGCATCTACATTCCGTCACAACTCTAGTTCCGCAAAGCCTCTCACGGATCAGGCCGCGGACGCCGCCAGAGATGCGGAGAACGAAGAACAGAACAGAAAACGCCGGGAACAAGAACCAGCCTACCAAATCACCTTCACATGCAAGCCGTGCGGCGAGCGTTCGTCCCACCGTATGTCCAAGCAGGGTTATCACCGCGGGACGGTCGTGATCCGTTGTCCGTCCTGTAAGAATCGGCACATCATCAGCGACCACCTCAATATTTTCTACGACAAGAAGACGACATTGGAGGATATCTTGGCTGAGCAGGGAAACAAACTGAAGCGGGGGTATGTGGAAGGAGATATGGAGTTCTGGGATGATGGATCGGTGACCCCGAAGGAGGGTGAGGAGGCGAAGTCCGACCAGGGACAGTTGCCTTAATCTACTCGTCGCGTTTCGACGCGGGGTTCTAATGGATAATGAAAAGAGGTCTGGCTATCGAGTGAATATCTGCATTTGGAGAGTTGCGCTACAAAAAGTCTGCATAGAGTTGCTGATTTAGAAACACATGGGTATACAGGCGTTGTTGGTTGTCCGATTTAGATACCTCTGTGACATTATATACACTCTGCTCTTGCGACCTGTACTAATATTATAACTTGGATGGATATATTTTGTACTATTAACAGCAAATAATCTATTCCGTTACCCTCCGCTCAACGCCTTTTTCTTTTGTATAAACCTGTATGCGAACATATACAATCATGAATTCCACGTCTCTTACCATCCTCGTCTCTTGCTGCGGTGTTCCATTCCTTTCTCCTTTCTCTTATCACGCTTGCGGTCGTTCCTCCGCTTCTTCTCGCGTCCAAACTTCTCAGGCTCCGTGACTGCCTCGATACGTCTCTTAACCCGACGGCCTTCACGTTTCTCCTTGATCTTCTCCTGGACGAGGGCCATTTGCTTCACAAACTCAGAGGTGCCCAGCTTCTTCTGGATGAGGTCCAATACTTCATGGCAGTTCGACACAAGGGCCTTGTACGATTCTCTGAAGACCGGATCAGAGGAGCGGGGTGGTGGGATGGATGAATCAGTCATATGCTGAAGAGGAATGAGGATGATAGGGATAGATGGTTGGATCTGCTCCGCGTCAAGGTGGCGACAAAGAGCTGCCAGAAGACCGATGGACGCGGTCTTGGGGATCAACGATTCTGCCCTAGTAGTAAGAAGCTCCCTACGCAGTACAGAAGACACCTGCTCGAAGATATATCGGATAGCGGGTTTCGATGAGTCGGCCGACTGCTCCTCCTTATTCTCGTCATCGGATTCTTCACTGTCGCTAGCATCTGATTCAACAGCCTGGTCCACCCTGCGAGAAAACTCGAGGCCATTCTGAGCGCAGCAACGCGTAATAAAAATGATATTGCGAACGGTTTGCGTCGCAAGCTCTTCGCTGACGGCCGGAGTTCTAAGACAGCGTACACTGGCACGGATCAGCTGCAGCATTGCGTCTCTGTCCAGGGCCAGTCCAGAAGCATTTTCCAAAGGCAATGAGCTGTAGCCATTAGTGGCATTCGACTTAGCCAAGTCCGCAAGCCAGGTTCCAATAAGATTAGAAGCAGATGTTTTGACCCAGGCATGCGGATAGAAGAGACATTCCCGAATAGCGGTCCAGTTCGTGGCACTTTCTTTGGCGAGCGCGATCGCGGGGACGCTCTTGCAGAGCTTTGCGTAGAGTTGGAGAGCGAAATAAAGCGTCTGCCAATTTTCAGTATCCTCAGCTTCTAGGACCGGCTGCATGATTGAAGGGAGAAGCTCTCTAACAAAGCGGGCTTCTTTTTCTTTCGTCGTCTCTTCCGCCTCAAAGTAAATCCGCATTGCGTGTAGTCCAGTGCCGGTCAAAAGCAAGTTGTCTGTTTGTTCCAGCCAAGAATGCAGAGGCACGAGGATGGTCTTCATCGTTTCATTGTCTGCCCTACTGTAGAATTGACTCAGCAAAGCTCCTGCGAGCTCTCTGCATTCTGCAGCATCATCATTCGCCATGACAATGACCACTGGCAAGAAGAATGTGCCGACTATGTCTTGAGCGAGTTCCTGTCCAGTCTTCGACAGCAGAGTATGGATGGCTTCCATGACCGATTGACGACCCTCCGAATGCTTGTATTCCAGGTTCTTGGCCAAAAAGGCTAGTTGTTTTGTCCATCGGTTCTTGGCCTGGGGGTACTCAATGAGGAAGTGAATGTAGACACCTCGCGCTAGATCACGCGCAGAGCGGGTCTGGTTGGTGACCATCATGGTGGCAATATGGTCAACTAACTCGTACATTTCAGTGACAACAAACTTCCTAGACATAACAGCCCTGATGAAGTTGAACGTGATGCCTTGACGGTCTGGCTCCTCGATGTCGGAAGTGAGGCGCTGCAGCAGATATGAAAGATGCCCGTCCCTGAGCTTTGTAGACTTTCTCTCCCGAAGCATGGCCGCAATCAACTTCAACGATGCCTGGGCAGCTTCAGTGTTTGTACTCGGCGCCTCCTTGATGATCTTGACAGCCTCAGTGAGATACACGTGAGAATTGTTATCAAGCTCAGCAAGAGGAAGCTTGATCATTGTAGACAGCAGTCGAAGGGCCGAGATCTTGACTTCTTCCTGCCCCTGGACTAGCGAATCGCCAATGATAGGAAGGAACCCAGCCACATTGCCTGGTGTGAGTAATGAGTCAAACTTGCTCAAGACCGAGCGAAGGACATCAAGGGCAAAACGAGTCAACTTGTAAGCGTAAGAAGAAGTGGTGCCTCGTTTCTCACCCCGCTTTGCTCCATGAAGCTTAATTAGAAAGTGTTCTTCGGAAGCAGATAAAGCTTTCTTTTCAGCCTGCACTGGCTCCTGATACGATTCCTTGATGATTTCATAACAAAACATCAGGATGTCGCGGTTCTCTACACCCGGGTTTCGCAAAAGACCAATACCGATTCTCCGCAAAAGCTCGTCAGCCTTCCTCACAATGGTGGAGGTAAGCTTCTCTTTGAGGAGCTTTTGCAAGGGTCTGATCAGATTCGACAGATTCCGAATGGTGGAATTCTTCGCTAAGAGTTCAATAGAGTCATAACTCTTGTTGCTCTTCACTTCCTTCATCTTGCTCACATATTCCTCTGCATCCTTCTCTTGACCAACAGTGCCGAAAGTATCGTCCATCACCACGGCGCTCAGGTCTGCCAGACAGTAATCCAGGTCCCCTTGCTTGAAGTCGTCCGTCGTAGCTACAAGCATAGAATGAACAGTGAAAGACAGAACGTGCAGCTGGTAACCCTTCGTGAGGGTAGTCCGGAGTTCCTTAAGTATGTAGCCGAAATACACAGGACCCAACAACAAGGCAATGTCGTTTAAAGTCTTCCTGGCAGTGTCTCTGGAATCTTGCGCGCGGCTCTTAAGAATGCTGCAAACGTCCAGAAGGACGGCTGGTAAGCGAATAGTCATGTCTTGCTCCGGCAACAACTTCAAAAGCTTGATGGTTGTCACCGAGGCTGGTAAACGCAAGCTCATCTGTGCTTCATCTTTATGGTGAACAAAGTTTGTCAGGAAGGGCGTAAAGTTCGTTGTCAGCTCGGACGCAACCTTGGAAGTAGAAGGAATCGTCCGAGCCAAAGTACACTGAGAAGGCACTGAAGTCTCAACTCCCTCCATTTGATCTTCGGTCGTCGCTTTGGGCACATTGATTTGATTCATTGCAGTGGTTAAGGCGTCAGACATCCTACCCAGAAGTCTCAAGATATTCTTTTCCATCTCTGGCTTACTCTGCATATAACCCTTGTACCTACGGAAGATGGCCCTGAACTGGTTCCAGTCAAGCCACTCCGCAAGTGCCCCAATGGTTGCAACTGCCTCTGCGATCAGGTTGTGAGCAGCCTCATCAGCCTCTTCATCGAACACAAAATGCTCATTAAGGGGAATGAAAATTGTGCTAATGTTCGAAGCCTGCAGTTTGCCCTTTGATGCCTCGGTGGCCAGACGTCGTAAAGCTCGCAGACGGCGATGCTGTTGTATATGGAGAACATTATTGAAAAAAGAGGCTTCATCGTCGTCATCGACAAGTAGATCATGCATATCCTGAACGTTAGGTCTGTCAGGATTCAGCTTGACGAAGTAACCTAACGCGGAGAGAAATTCTATCCGAACTAGTTCTGATTTTTGCCGGATACCACTCTGCAATGAAGGGAATAGAACATCCTTTACGAGAGGCTCAAATTCGTCCACATTGTTGTCAGTAGCGAGAGTAGCCCTTTCCATGAATCGTTTCAATCCAAACGAAGCGCTTGATCTGATGGCGAGCTCTTCGTCGTCTTTGACATGGTAGAGCATGTTGTAGAGAACCGGCCGCCATTGTCTAGCATTGAAATTCTCCCAGAGCCCGTCATTGATCTCTCTGAAAGCCTGCAAACGACGTTCAAAGTCAACTTCCAGCTTCTTTCGAGAGACTGAGTTCAGGTCTTCACAAAGAGCAGCAACCTTGACAAGCTCGGGGTCATGCTTGGCGAAGGCAGAGAAAACCCTAGATAAAACCTCTCGGTTCGCTTCATCCTTGAAATAATCGAACATGGAGGAAACTGCATCAAACACTTCCTCGAAAAGCTTCGAATCCTCCTTGGGATCGTAAAGAGGTAAAAAGTGCTCGAGGATGCGCAGAAGGCCAGATTTCGTCTTGGGGGACACGCGGTCCGGGGGCTGACGGAGAAGATATGTGGTTATGTTAACCAAGCTTGACGTTTCCTTGGACGATTCGACACATGGCGCTATTAGAGAAAGTGTCTGAACGCCAGATATCAAGACTGGTCTGGAAGGGCCTCGCTTCAGCAGGTTACCCAGGTGAGAAAGGATGTGGTCTAAATAAGGTGCTAGAACCACAGAACGAATTTCATCAGCAGGTATATCGCTCATTTGCTCCTGCTCTTTAAGTTCCTTCCCAGTGGCTAGTCCGACCAACGGCACTAGGATCTCATCCATAATAAACACCTTAACTTCATCACGAGTGGAGTCCACACCAAAACAGTCGACGACCTTCGTTAGAAGCGCTTCATTATGTTGGACGAGATAAAAGGACGATCTGGGGGCAGTAGCCCAGGTATGGAATAGTCTAAGAAGACCAGAAACACCTTGGGTTGTTTCTGTCGCAAAGTTTTCGAGTCTAGGGTTGATTGTTTCGTTGAAGATCACACGAACGAAGGGTGTCCAGTCTCGGTCCAGCGAGACAGAGAATATAAGGTCCAGGCACTTGATGCATGTAGACCGGATATTACGCAACACTGTCAATAGTTTCCCTTCTTGCGAGTCGACCACATTTTCTGTTTGCGACTTTTCCAATTCACGGCATGCTCGAACCAGGCAGTAAAGGACAACTCCCATAGACCGCTCTGCGTAAGGTTCCATCTTGCTCTGTAGTGATTCAAAGACCGTTTCAATCATCCTTAGTAGACCCATTTGCCTCCTTGGACTTGCCAGCTCTCGTGTGAACACTTCCTGGTCAATTTCACCATTTTGAATCAAGTGAACGTCGCCCAGAGGCCCGAATGAGATCTGGATGAAGAGCTGGAACTCGTTGTCAGGCAACTGGGCCAAGGTTCTTAGAACTGCTTTTCGTCGTCCTGCTTGCCCAGCCTGGCTTGAGCTCGCACCAGCCTTTGAGATCATCCGTCCATAGAGAAGTCGGAGAAGTACAGGGAGGA